ACCTTGTCTTAATCCACATTTCATAAAATGTAGCAACTGAGATGCTAATGCTTACAGAGAATTAGAAGAAGACATTGGGATGACAGGAAGAAAAATAAAAAGTAAACTGAGGAAATCTTGCTTTGTCCAAAATTATTTAACAATAATGTGAATTGCAGTCTTTCCGCATACTTGTAATCCTAAAAGAAATTATAAAACATGGATGTGGTGACTTCCGGTTTTATGTTCTTTTAAAGCAGAACCAGATAATGTTCGGGTTATGCTTCTCCTACAGGGACTTTTAAAAATAACCCTGTTGTAAACGATGTTAGCTCTCCAAGAGCTGCGCAGCACCTCACAGCTACACGTTCACTGTTGAGCAGTTAGAAGATGCATAAGAAGACGAAATGTCTGAAAAGATGGGAAGTAATTTACATTAATCAATGTAAACTGGTGTACAGCAGTCTTTCCTTGGAAAAAGAAATGTTTAGATAAGTCTGACTCCCAAGAGAAAATTTTTTCTTTGCTCTCATAAGATGATTCCGCCTGTCCATGTTTTATAGCTACATGCTAAAAATCAATCACAGTAAAGTCAGAATAGTACCACTGAAAGACATTAGCAGATACGGTACTCACTGGTCCAATGACACCACCTTTAAGGTGTAAAGGGGGATTTTCCGAATGTATCATCTAAATAACTGGTCCTCCTATTCGTCAATCATTCTGGGGAAATGTTTATGTAAGGCCGTCCTCCCTGTTCATCCGGAAGTAGGTATCTTTTTCTGTGCATGCGCACTTTTTGGCATGTATGTGTGGTGAGCTACGGTTTCAGACAGTCATTGAGGCTCACCTTTCTCATTCTTTGAAAATGGCAGAGGGTCGTAAGAGAAAAAGTGTCTATGAATGGTCTGAGAAGAAGAGAAAGGCTTCAGAAGAGAGAAACAAGACCAGAGTGTTTTTGGGAGATGGTTTTACGCAATGGCGTACACTAAAAGTACAGGTGGGGCTTCCCACTAATACCTCGGTTGCAATGTTTCTTATCGACAGGTAAAGTTTGGCATGCTATTTGGAGAAATCCATTTCACATCACTGCTAGTAAAACCAGGAGAAATGGGCTTGTGCATACTCTCGCATGCGTTTAATAGTTGTTCCCTCTCGGGACCAGGTACAGGGTTGTGCATGTGCATTTTTTTAAAGTGGAGAGGGCAGGTCTTTTAAAAAAAAAAAAGTGAAAATCCTCCACTACACCTTAATTTACGTTCACAATTCATATTTTCATTTTCTCTTCCTTTCCTCTTCTCAGAGATGTTTTCTTTGCCGTTTTTGCTGGCTTTATACTGGGCTGCCATAAAGCTGCCTGTTGTACCATGAGAACAAGAACAGAGCAAAGGGTCAGAGGCACAAAAAGTTGCAATTTGTGGTTGCACGTGCACCTTTTTTTCATTACATAAAGTAAGGGAGCTTCTTGCAGGTGCAGTTTGAGAGTCCACTAAAGAAAGCTGAGGTTTAAAGTAATGGAGATTGAGGTAATACTGATAATTATTAAAAATAAATAAATAAATAAATAACATTAATTAAAAATATTTATAATGCACATAGTAGCCTGTCATAAAATGAAAGGACAAAAAGTCAAAAACGTGCACAGTTTGTTTTGGAATCTCATAGCAGACCACTTGGACGGGCAGATTGAGACTTCATGTAGTTACTTGTAAAGACAAGATCATATTTGCCCCTAGATTCATTCCTACATTAGACAAACTGAAAATATATCTGATTTGGTGTTATATGGTGTAGGGCGACAGTAGTGTTGGATGTAGGAGTTTGCCCTGATATCGAAGGCTTGACGGTTCAAGCCCCGGCTCTGACTTTCATTGTCGTTGTGTCCTTGGAGAAGACACTTCACCTGCATTGTCTACTGATATTGGTCAGAGGGCCCGGTGGAGCCAGTGTACGGCAGCCCAGCTTTTGTCAGTGTCCCCCTACATTGTAGCTGTGGCTACAATGTAGCTTGCCACCATCAGTGTGTGAGTGTGTGTGTAAATGGGTGAATGAATGTAGTGTAAAGCGCTTTGGTCAAGTCTCCTGACTTGAAAAAGGGCGCTATATAAGTACATGCCATTTACCATATTTCTTTTACTGCCTAACAGCAACTTTCTAGGATTAGCTTTTTTAAAGGAAGCTGACCACCACTTGACCCAGTCAGTTTTTGAGAAGAGCAGAGCATCAATACATGCCAAGTGCTGTAATATTGACCTGAAAAGTAATTTATTATACATAAAATTAAGCTAACACTTAAGTCAGTAGTAATACAGAGTGTAATACAGACTTTGTTTTAGTTGTTAATTTTTAATAAGCAGAGGAAAGTCCCTCTGTTTATTTTAAACAGTTTAAAAACTGTTTAAAATAAAAGTTCATTTAAAAAAGAAAATAAATATAACATAACATAACACAGATATAAAAGATGTTAACATCTAATCGAATCAGTCAATTTTTTTTACTGGTGATCTGCCTCAGAGCCTGCTGTTTTTGATTGTGACCCTACCCTTTATAATCAGCAAACGGTCATATCTGAGTAATTTTAAATAACATACAAATTCCTGCCGATATTAAATCCAATGACAAATACCTGATAAAACTGATATTATTTACATTATATAAGTTTAAGTATTCATAGTATTGAAAATTACTCTACATACTTTAAATTAAGTTTAAGTAGCAGTGGTATATTTTTTTTAACTGTTTGTTCTGGCTCTCTTTGCATTTAACAGCAGTCTAGCCCATCTAATAATGTTCTCACAAACAGCTAAGAAAGATCGTCCAGTGTTAACATTTAGAGAAGTTGCTAGCTCTTACCTTCATACCAGCATTAGTTAAAAATATCCACTACCACATGTATCACATCGATCACACTCAGTTAAAATTGGACACCACATTTCATCTCCTCTGTTTTTGTTTTCCTGCTTAAAACTAAGTGTAAGTAAAATAGTTTGAGTGTGTTGTGAAGCAAACATTTATGTTGCTGGAGAAAAACTACATCTTTGAAATGAATGTAAATATCTTTGTATCACAATAGATTCAAAACTCACTTTTAAACCTGATTTAAAATGTTTGTAATTAAGTTAAATAGTGTATGTCTTTTTTTAATGTTTATAAGATCAAAGTTATCACTAAAGGCTTCCAAACTGTTTATGGACGAATGTGTTTTATCACACATAACCTATTGTCCTACAACTTGGTCACAAACAGCAATGAAATCCATAAAGTCATTATAGAAACAGAAATTCTAAATATGGGCGGAAAACCATTAAATAAATCATCATAGCAATATTTAGACAAACACAGGTTCTGGTTTGGAAGCAGGTCATTAAATTCTCAAATCTTTATGGTGTGTAAAAAAAAATGCTACAGGTGGTGATATCCACCACTCATTTATATAAGGAATACCAAGGAGTAACAAGAGGGGCAATCCGTGAAGATTCTATTGTTTCTTCCAGAAAAACTTCATTTTCGGATACAGCTGCCGGGAGTGGAACTCTATTCTCCAGGCAGACAATCAGAACATTTGCCACCTATAATCAATTTAAAAACAAAGATAGAACTTATATAGTTTTAAATACTTCTTACACCTTTTCTGGAAACTGCATTAAACTTAAATTAATTGTCAATATTTGTGTAGTTCATATTAATTTTAACTTTTATTATATAAATTTTATTAGTTTTTAAAGACAATTTACTTTTCTCCAGGGACAAATGACAAAAAATGTCATTTTTGCTCATTCTGGGACACTAACTGATCTATGTTAATTAATGTGTATCCTACCACATAAATACATTTTAAATCCCCATTATTTAAAGAGACATTATGGAGAATTTCCATTGGTGTCTCAGGATGTCGCTTCTGAGTGGCCACAAAAACCATCTTGAATATGACGCTCTTATTGTTTGCTAGGTTGGACTGATTTAACATGGACGTGCTTGACGTCACATCCGCCGAACAGCGTGGCAACCTCTGACCGGGAGTAAATTTAGGAAAATATGCTACAGAACAGACTTTCAGCACTGATGCTCATAGATGCATCAGTGCTGAAAGTCTGTTCTTCACCAAACAATGATTTAGTTGTAAAGGGTCAAATGAAAGGGCTATTTTAAAGATATTTTTCAGTAAAGCCTTACATAATGTCTCTTAAACAGTCTTAAATTTGTAACTCCTAGCCACTATGATTTATAAACATAAATAGTAGACAAAATATTATTTAGAATATTTATCGTCACATAAACCAAATAAAGTCCACCTTCTAACTTCTAAGAGCAGTAATCAAAAGTGCACTTAGCAAAAATAATGCTGCTTGAGCTTTAGATTACATTCCATAGAAACCTTTAAATAAAAAATCATTAGCCTGTCATGAACACAATAAAGAATATATAAAGAAAATGAGCATAATTTCTCTCTCAACTCTAAAACATTTACTTACCTTCAGTTGCTTGCGTGGGTTTAACTTGCATCTGTCTATGAAGAGACGTTTATACTACGTAATAACCAAAGGAACCACTTGAGTTATAAGTACACGAGGGGTTTTTCGAAGCATCTCTAGAGGGTATCTATGTTGGGATTGAGAGGCAACCCAAAAAACGGATCACTGCCTTTGCTACTGGAGCTTTTTCTATTCCGTTATTTTATTTTGTTTAGTATTTTACTCTGTAACATGTGATTTTAAATGTAAGTGAGGGAAATACTTTAGTTCAGCATCAGTGATCTCACTAAAAAAGTAAAAGTAAGATAGATTTGAGTTGTTCTGTTTGACTCATAAAATTAAAGAATAATAGAAATATATCGTACCATGACAGACTCTATCTGCCATATCGATCTATCTATATCTATATAAAAGTGTGTGTAACAGGTTAAAACCATACACAGCTCAGCTCTTTTCAAGCATATGCTCTCAAAATAGAAATACCATTAACACAAGCATTCTCCTAAAAAGCATGAGTGGCATCAGTACGCAGTCTAAAAGTGAACTCACCTATAAATTTTATATCTGGTTGTAAATCCTTGGCGGAATCTTTCCACAAAGGACAGATAGCTCCGAGAGTGGTGGAAAGGTCCACGGTCAGAGATGAGCCAGTCATATTGCTTGGTGACATGTTGTTCAGCAGCCAATAGGTCCTGGCGAGTAGACTGAACTGTTATATGGTCCCATATAAACAGGAAGCAGATGACCTCAATAAACCTCCAGTTCATGCTTTTTTTTAAGCCGCTCTCTGTTCATTCTCACTCCATTATGTGGAGACCTGATGGGATAGAAAAGAAAGAGGGGAGAGAGGGGATGGGGAAGGGATGTGCAAAAAAGAGATCTGTTATATGACAGTCTATATCAGCAGTACAAGAAAGTCAAAGAGTTAGGTTAATTGTATTCTGTTGCACAAATAAGAGTGCCCTTGTCATTGTCGCTTCACTCTGATATAAAGTGTGCTTATTTTCTGGTGTTCTCATGTTTTTCAACCATTATTCCTGTCTGCAGTATTGAAATGGCATACAACGCAGTACACAATGGGTGTTACTATTTTGCAGATCAGTAAGTGGTTCACCCTAAGCTATCTGGCTGTCTGTTTGTAATTGGTGTCATGATAAGCACTGACAAGGTTAGAAGACGGCTTTATGATATGTTATGACACTCTACAACCACTAATGTGGAAAAAGCCTATCTCCCTTTACTCAGTGGTGTCAATTACTGCTGGAGGAATCTTTCATCTTTTGACATTGTTGTTGAACCTTTCCATGCTTTCGCTGGCCAACTAGCATGTAACCCAGAAACTATATTAGTATTAGTATTATGACTATGTGTTCAGTAGGAAAAAAAAAAAAACGAACAAAAGTATAAAAATACATAA